GAGAGAGGAAAGGAAGGGGAGAGAGAGAGATAGAAACATCAATGATGAGAGATCAAGCCCGCAACCCAGGCATGTACCCTGACCGGGACTCAAACCCTGATCGCCTGGATCCTAGGTCGATGCTCAACCACTGAGCCATGCCCGGCTGGGCATCATTGATCTTTTGTATTGTTTTTTAATCTCTCTGTTATTTATTTCTGCTCTGATCTTTATTATTTCCTTCCTTCTACTTACTCTGGGCTTTTCTTGTTGTTCTCTTTCTAAGTTTTTAAGTTGTAGGGTAAGAGAGTTTATTGGAAATTTTTCTTGTTTTCTGAGGTACGCCTGTAGTGCTATGAACTTCCTTCTTTGGGCTGCTTTCATTGTGTCCCATAGATTTGGAGTTGTTGTCTGTTCATTTTCATTTGTTTTGAGGAAGATTTTGATTTATTTCTTGACCTCTTTGGTAAGTCATTCATTGTTTAAAAACATGTTATTTAGCCTCCATGTGTTTGAATGTATTTTAGTATTTTTATTGTAGCTGATTTCTAATTTCATGCCATTGTGGTCTGAGAAGATGCCTGATATGATTTCAATCTTCTTGAGCTTGTAGAGACTTGTTTTGTGTCCTAACATGTGGTCTCTCTTTGAGAATGTCCCATGTGCACTTGAGAAGAATGTATATTCTGCAGCTTTTGGGTGGAATGTTCTGTAAATATCAATTAAATCCATCTGATCTAGTGTGTCACTTAGGGTCACTGTTTCCTTGTTTTTTGTCTGGAAGATCTATGCAGTGAAGTCAGTGAGGTGTTAAAGANTTCCTTGTTGATTTTTTGTCTGGAAGACCTATCCAGTGAAGTCAGTGGGGTGTTGAAATACTCTGGTATCACTGTATTGCTGTTGATCTCTCCCTTAAAGTCCTCTAGAAGTTTTTTAAAAATAAATTTAGGTGCTTCTGTATTGGGTGCATATATGTTTATCAGGGTTATATCCTCTTGTTCAATCAATCCCTTTAGTATTGTGTAGTGATCTTGTCTCTCATTATGGTATCCATTTTGAAGTCTATTTTGTCAGATATGAGTATTGCTACCCCAGCTTTTTTTAATTTCCATTTACATGGAAAATATTTTTCCATCCCTTCACTCTCATCCTGTGTGACTCTTTTGTTCTGAGGTGGTTCTCTTGTAGAGAGCATATATTTGGGTAATGTTATCTTATCCATTCAGCCACCCTAGACTTGGTTTCAGATCCTTGTTTTGCATTACCTTGAATACTTCATGCCATTCCCTTCTGGCCTGTAGAGTTTCTGATGAGAAGTCAGCTGACAGCCTTATGGGAGCTCCTTTGTAGGTAACAGATTGCTTTTCTCTAGCTTTCTTTAAGACTCTCTCTGTCTTGAACTTTTGGCATTTTAATTATGATGTGTCTGGGCATGGGCCCCTTTGGATTCTTCTTGCTTGGGACTCTCTGTGCCTCCTGAAATTGTGTGACTTTTTTCTTGACCAGGTTAGGGAAGTTTTCTGCCGTTATTTCTTCAAACAGGTTCTCTAACCCTCACTTTCAACCTCTTCTGGCATTCCTATGATGTGAATATTTTTACCTTTCATGTTGTCCCACAGGTCCCTTAAACTGTCCTCCTCTTTTTTAATTGTTCTCTCTTTTTGGGTTTCTGATCGAATTAGTTTTTCTACCCTGTCTTCTAATTCACTGATCTGATCCTCAGCTTCCTCTAATCTGCTGTTTATTCCTTCCAATGTATTCTTTATTTCTGCTATGTCATTCTTCATTTCTGTCTGGTCATTTTTCATAGTTTCCATATCTTTTCTCATGTTGTTGAGCTTCCTTACAATCAGTAGTCTGAACTCTATATCTGATAGATTACTTATCTTCATTTCATTTAGCTCTTTTTCTGTGGACTTCTCTTGTTCTTTCATTTGGGGTTTGGTTTTTTGTCTCCCCATTTTGGCTGCCCACTTGGGTTTGTTTCTATGTATTAGGTAAGCCTGCTAGGACTCTCAGTCTTTTTGGACCATTTCTGGTGCAGGCCAATGTCAGACGCTGTTTGTGACTGGCCCTGAGTGCCCTGTTTAGTGCTATCAACAACTCTCCGCTTGAGGTCTCCTCTGTTGGAGCTGGGTGCAGTTGGACAGGACCAAGATGCACACCAAAGTCTGCTTTTCCAAAGCTCAGGTCCAGAAGCACTCTGAGGGCTGCCTCAGCCTGCAGGCTGATTAATCTGATTCTCTTAATGAGCCTCAGGTGTCGAAATTCCACAGGGTGGGGTGGCTGGTTATTAGTCTCTTAAAGAGCCTCAGGCTATAGAAACTCCACTGGGTAAGGTGAGAGGTTTTCCAGCAGGGCGGGGCAATTGCTTCACCCACCAGGCAAAAGCAGCAGACTGTCTGCCTGAGAAACATGTCCTCTGAAGTATAGGGGAATGACTTAGCACAGGAATCCAGATGGGTGCCCTCTGAGCTCTATCTCCAGAGCCCATAACCCTAGATTCTCCTCACACAGCTCCAGTACACTTTGCCCTCCCTCTGCTGGAGCCCAAGGTGAGTGGTTGCACACGAAACTTTGTGCATTGGCCCTTTAAGGGGGTGCCTGTATTTCCAGCCATCTCTCCCTGGCAGACAGAAACCTGGCTGCTTTTCACAGCCAAATGTTATGTGGGCACCTTTTTCAGTTCTGGTGCTCTTGGCTGGGTTAGGTCCCAGAGTCCTTAGTGGGAACCCCCCCACAGTTGAGATATCCCTTTGGACCTTCAGCTGCTGCCTGTGGGAGCCCAGCCAGCCCTCTCAGGCCTCCACACTTCCTACCAGTCTCTATGGGGTCTCCCCTTTTCCTCCTTGGTTATGAAGCTGCTCTCCAGCTCATCTTCAGTTGCAGTTGATTATTCAGGAATGTTTTTCTATATTTTAGTTGCAATTGCAGTTTGGTCCCAGGAGTGTCAGTGTAGCTTCCACTCAATCTGCCGCATCTTTAATCCTATCCTGTTAATTGTTCCTGACGCCGTTCTTACATTGAGCAACATAAGTCTCTTTTCTGTCTTTTTTTTTCCTACCAACCTCCGCCCCAACTAGGCTATGAGACCTAACTGCATAACCAGAGAGGATTTTCTGAATCCACAGTGGTCCTGTGCTTCTAAGAAAATGGGAGCCAGTGCCACAAAACCCAGATATGGCTGCTGTCATCTTCTTTTCACTTCAACAGCAATTACCACTGCCTTGCTGATGCTGAATGTGTTTTCTTTTTTTCTTTAAAAGTTATCTTTATTGTTGAGAGCATTACAGATGTCCCCCATTCCCTCCCTATTGCCCCCTCCATCTGGCTCTTTCGCCACCCCAGGGCTTCCCACCCTATTGTCTGTGTCCAGGGGTTATGCATATAAATTCTTGATTAATGTCTTCCTCCCCCTCCCCCTCTCCCCTTCCCTCTGAGATTTGTCTGTTCCATGCTTCCATGTCTCTGGACCTATTTTCTTTATTTTGTTCATTAGATCCCACAGATAAGTGAGGTCATGTGGTACTTGTCTTTCTCTGACTGGCTAATTTCACTTAGCATAATACTCTCCAGGTCCCTCCATGCTGTCCCAAAGGGTAAGAGTTCCTTCTTTTTACAGCTGCATAGTATTCCATGGGGTAAATGTCCCACAGCTTTTTTATCCACTCACCTACTGATGGGCACTTGGGCTGTTTCCAGATCTAAGCTATTGTAAATAACACTGCTATGAACATAGGGGTGCACAAGTTCTTTCTGATTGGTGTTTCAGGTTTCTTAGGTTATATTCCTAGAAGTGGGATCTCTGGATCAAATGGCAGTTCAATTTTTAATTTTTTGAGGAATCTCCACAGTTTTCTATAGTGGCTGCACCAGTCTGCATTCCCACCAGCAGTGTACCAGGGTTCCCCCTTCTCCACATCCTTGCCAGCAGTTGTTGTTTGTTAATGGTGCCATTCTGACAGGTGTGAGGTGATACCTCATTGTTTTAATTTGCATCTCTCTGATTAGTGATGTTGAGCATTTTTTCACATGTCTATTGGCCATTTGTATGTCCTCTTTGGAGGAATGTCTTTTTAGGTCCTTTGCCCATTTTTTAATTGGATTTTTTTGTCTCCCTTTTGTTGAGTTGTATGAGTTCCTTATATATTTTTGATATTAACCCTTTATTAGATGTGTCACTGGCAAGTATGTTCTCCCATACAGTGGGCTCCCTTTTCATTTTGAGGATGGTTTCTTCTGCTCTGCAGAAGCTTTTTAGTCTGATGTAGTCCCATTTGTTTCAATTTTTCCTTTGTTTCTCTTGCCCAAGGAGATGTATCAGTGAAAATTCTGCTACATGAGATACCTATTTTGCTACCTATGTTTTCTTCTATGATTTTTGTGGTTTCACGACTTACATTTAAATCTTTTATCCATTTTGAGTTTATTCTTGTGTATGGTGTAAGTTGGTGGTCTAGTTTTATTTTTTTGCATGTACTTACTTGTCCAATTTTTCCAACACGATTTAGTGAAGAGACTGTCTTTACTCCATTGTATGTTCTTGCCTCCTATGTTAAGTATTAATTGAGCATAATGGCTTTGGTTGATTTCTGGGGTCTCTGTTTTGTTCCATTGACCTATATGCCTGAGGATCCAGTGAGAAGTGTATGCCAAGTCTGATTTGAGGGGCATATAAGGGGTGTTGCCAATAAGGAAGGGCCCTGTCCACAAGCAGCCACTTTGTCCTCAGTAGTGATGAAGATGATGATGAGGAGGAGGAGGGGGGGGAGGAGGAGATTTAATTTCTTACATTTGTTTATACAGAGACACCTCCATCTCCTGGTGCCTACACTGGGGGGGGGG